AGTCAGCCTCAATGTTGTGTGAGGCTTGTCAGTTGGGAAAGTTTAGTAGACTACCGTTTCTTTCTTCTGAGTATGTAACAACTAAGCCACTTGAGCGTGTTCACAGTGATCTATGGGGACCTTCCCCTGTAACATCGACTCAAGGGTTTCAATATTATGTTGTTTTCGTTGACAATTTCTCTCGCTTTACCTGGTTTTATCCTTTAAACCACAAGTCGGATTTCTTCTCTATATTTTTGCTGTTTCAAGCTTTGGTTGAGAATCAGTTTCATACTAAGATTCAGATGTTCCAAAGCGATGGAGGGGGTGAATATGTCAGTTCTGCATTTCTGCATCACCTTCAAAAATGTGGAATCAAACATTTGTTGTCATGTCCTCATACCCCACAACAGAACGGCTTGTCTGAGAGAAAACATCGACATATCACTGAACTAGCTCTGTTTATGATGTTTCATGGAAGTGTTCCTCAACGTCTGTGGGTTGAGGCTTTCTTCACGACCAACTTCCTTGGAAATCTTTTTCCATCCTCTGTTACTGGTGATCGTCAAAGTCCATATGAGAAACTGTTTGGTAAACCACCACTATATACGGCTCTACGAGTTTTTGGTTGCTCATGTTACCCATATCTGCGTCCATACTCGAAAAACAAGTTTGATCCTAAGTCTTTGCACTGTGTTTTTCTGGGATACAATGACAAATACAAAGGATATAGATGTCTACACCCTCCAACAGGAAGGGTCTATATCAGTAGACATGTTTTGTTCAATGAAACTTTGTTTCCCTTCACTGGCATCTATAGTTCCTTTCGATCTACAGCCACCACTCCTCTCATGTCAGCTTGGATCAAAGGACAACCTGCTTCAGTTACAAGTTCCACGTCTGCAGACTCTGAAAACTCTGCACCTCTTTATGCGTCTACAAGTGCAGATTTGTTACCATCAATGATTTCTACTTCTGGTGTGACAAGTAGTTCTGAGTGTACGGCGGCCTTTGATGCTGTTCCTATAAGCAACAGCTATTCTGTCACACCAGCTAGGACAGAATCATTGGTACCTGCTTCACCAGCTCCTACTCCCATGTCTGCAAACGAAACTTCAGAAAGTCTAAATACAATCCCTTCAAGCCCAGCCACAAGTGATTCGTCATCTTCTTTACCTCAGTCTTCCGATAATCCTGCTCCACCCACTGGTCATCCAATGATCACGAGAGCAAAAAGTGGGGTTTTTAAACCCAATCCCCGGTATGTTCTTCTTGCAGTAAAAGAAAACTACCCTGAACCAAAGTCCATCAAGTCTGCCTTAAAAGATCCCAACTGGAATAAGGCCATGGAAGTTGAATATGGAACTCTTAAAGAAACGAATACTTGGGATCTTGTGCCACCTGAAATGGCTGACAATATCCTTGGCTGTCGCTGGGTTTACAAAACTAAACTAAAGGCTGATGGCTCCCTTGACAGATTGAAAGCTCGTTTGGTTGCTAAAGGTTATGATCAAGAGGAAGGTGTTGATTTTCTTGAAACCTTTAGTCCAGTGGTTCGTACAGCAACAGTTCGTTCAGTGCTTCATGTGGCTGTTACACAACACTGGGATATTAAACAGCTTGATGTCCAAAATGCTTTTCTTCATGGTGACTTGAAAGAAACGGTTTTCATGGTTCAACCTCCTGGTTTTGAAGACCCCGAGAAGCCTGACTATGTCTGTAAACTCAAGAAGGCCATCTACGGCTTAAAGCAAGCCCCAAGAGCATGGTTTGACAAGTTCAGTACCTTTCTTATTCAGTTCGGCTTTGTCTGCAGTATACCTGATCCATCTTTGTTCGTATACATCAAAGGACAAGATGTTATGCTCCTGTTACTCTATGTTGATGATATGGTGTTAACAGGCAACAAAATACGTTAATTTCACAGCTTCTTGATCATCTAAGCTCATTCTTTAGAATGAAAGATATGGGGCCCCTCCACTACTTCCTTGGCATTCAAGCTCACTTTCATGATGACGATCTATTTCTTTCTCAAGAAAAGTATACTCTTGACCTTCTTACTACTGCAGGAATGGCTGATTGTGCTCCTATGCCCACACCTCTGCCTCTGCAACTTGACAAAGTCTCAGGTCAAGACGTTTTGTTCACTGAGCCTACATACTTTAGAAGTTTGGCAGGCAAACTTCAGTATCTGACATTGACGCGACCAGATATACAATTTGCTGTCAATCTAGTGTGTCAGCGAATGCATGCTCCCACCATGGCTGATTTCAGCCTTTTGAAGAGGATACTCCGGTATTTGAAAGGTACATTTACAATGGGAGTAAATCTTACCTCAGACACTGATTCTTTTCTTCGAGCATACAGTGACAGTGATTGGGCTAACTGCAAAGAAACAAGAAGATCTACTGGTGGTCTGTGCACCTTTCTCGGCTCTAACATAATATCTTGGTCTGCAAAAAGACACTCTACGGTTTCAAGGTCCTCTACTGAAGCTGAGTATAGAACCCTGTCTTTGGCTGCCACAGAGGTCAAATGGATCAGTTCTCTTCTCTCTGCAATTGGTCAACCGCAACCTGATGTTCCTGAGTTGTATTGCGACAATATCTCAACTATATATCTCACTGCAAATCCTGCTTTACACTCACGGTCAAAGCACTTTGATGTTGATTTTCATTATGTGAGAGAACGTGTTGCACATGGAGCTTTGGTGGTTAAACATGTTCCAAGTAAGCTCCAGTTGGCAGACATTTTTACGAAGTCTTTGGCTCAAGCTCCTTTCTGTGATCTCAGGTACAAACTCGGTGTTGATGTTCCACCAACCCCAAGTTTGAGGGGGTGTATAAGCAGAACAGATGAACTTCTGGCTTGTCCAGAAGGTTTGCTAAACGAGTCAGGGCCAAAAGAAGCCCACACCGCAAGCTTAAATGAAATGGGCCTCGGAGATAAAGTCAAGCCCAATGCTGTTCAATCATCTTCTCTCTGCAACGGTAACAGAGCAATTCAATCTTTGTACTCTCGTCAAAAAGCAACCTGCTGTACGGAGAAGACAGCTCATCCCATACAGCTACACAATCGATTCATGCCCTTAAAGTTGTGTGTTGTGTAGTCTGGTTAAATGGTCTTTTCGTTTACTAGGGTTTATGAAAGTTCCTCTATATAAACAAACTCTGTCTTTGTAAACTATTATCTTTTGAAGAATCAATATAAAGTTTGTGTCTTTCTTTCGTTTTTCTCTTCTACTCTCAAAGTACTGTGTTATAATAATTTTTGACGATCAATAATTCAATCCATGCATCTCTCAAATTTTAATCAGATCATGCATCAATTCCCATATTTGAAAATTATATATGAAGCAAAGGATTATGCATTTTAGGTTGAATCATTTGCTTTTAGATGTAACTTCTATATTTCATTTGCTTGGCTTAAAATCTTTAAAAAAGTAGATCTATAAACCATTTCTCATAATTACGAATAAAATCGAGATTCATAATTTACGCAAAACGATAATGCATGAGAGCTTTTACGAAATAAAAAAGAATATCCCTTTCATTGCTTAAGCCTCAGTACGACCCAGTCGGTCTTACACAAACGTATAATTGAATTGGATTCCCTATGAAATGTAAATGTATTCTTCGATCCTTCAAGACGATATCGACTGGCTCCAGTTAGCATATATAGTTCTTATTTATCTTTTATTGGGTTTAAATTGACGGGACAGATAAGTTCAGGGTCAGGTTTATGGTGTGGGGTCGGGTCTGGTTTTGTTTTATTTATATTTTCTTTTATTTAAACATAACGGTTTCCTCTACAGACTACAGTGAGATACAAATTTTAGACATCCATTGTTATGTTATTGGTTAAGCATGTGACAACATTGACAGTGTTTTTGTGTAGGTGCTAATTTGCTTTTTCTTAACAATATTATGAGGCCAGATCTGTTAGGCTCGAGAGAAACAAACTAAGAGCATCCACAACGCTGAAACGCAAAATATGTTTCTTGTTAATTTTTATATTATTAAATTTGAGGAATACTAAAAAGGAAAAAAAGGAGAGAGAAATTGGTAAGAGAAAAAAGAAGAAAGAGAAAGGAAGAGTTTTTTTTTTGCTGACTAATTAAAAACTGACACGTGACAGAAGAAACGTTTTTAATTGTTCCCAGAGAAGAAACGTTTCTACATTTTATCCAATCCATTTCAATTATTATATTAATAAATTTTTGTTAGAGACGCTTAAAAGACAGCGTTGTGGATGCTCTAAGAAACCTTTTAGCATTGTGTAGAAAACCAATCAGGTGATGTTTCTTTTCTTTTGAGAATATATTCTCATAGATCATATAATATAGATCCAAGCAAGTAAACAAAAAAAATAACAAAGCAAACCAATCGTAGCACTAGCTAGAAGATGGAGGTCACCATGGTACTAAAGAGACCACCATGCGAGATGATCTTTTTTTCTCTCCAAAATCCCTATAAAAAGCTTATATTCATTTTTTTTACTTATTTGCTTTTATGCTTTATTAATTTCTTCTCCAATTTGATTACGTGATACTAAAGAGAGCTTATCCCCAAATTTACTTTCAATCGCACGATTCTCTCTCTCTCTCTCTATATATATATATATATATATATATATTTATATGAGAAATTGCAATAAAGGGTATGTGAAGTTCGTGGAATTAAGAGGTACCTTTTAGGACTCGACCCCACACACTCGTATAGGGCAAAAAGACCGAGTAACCCTTACGAACTTCAAGCGCTTTCAATTTGTCCTACATGCTAGCGTGTGTCAGAACCGACAAGGATATCATTTGAATAGATTTAGACTCCTTCGTTATACCCACGAAAAAAAAAATATCGAAGAATAGGGTTAACAGACCATTATTCCGTTTATCGGACTCCTCATCGTCTGCCCTTCCCTATTTTCTCTATTTTCGTGGGGGTTCCATCCTTTTTCATTCTCGAGAACCGTCGAAGTGTAGAAATTTCTCTATCAATCCTCTTTTCAAACCTATTTCCGCCATGAGTGAGTTAAATCTCCCGAAGCGAATCATATCGGCTGGAGATGAGCCCTGGGGTCAGCGAGTGATAACTTACCAAAAATTTAGCATCATTTCAGATCTCGTAGCGGCGCTTAATGAATCGGAAATCGACTTTATCCGGGAGTCCCCTCTGGGGATGCTACTTGAGATACCTTCCAAACCGGCTTGGTCAGGTACGTTTGGGTTGTTTTTACTCTCGCGACAACTCGAAGTTGATCGGAAGAACGAGATTTGGTTCGTTTTTGCGGGACGTCCGATTAGATTCTCTCTCCGCGAATTCAAAATCATTACTGGTTTGAACTGCGGGAGGCTGCCTTTGACCGAAGCGAGAAAACGGAAGTCTTCGACATACCCAAATTTTGCCAAACTCTTTGATGGAAAAGACGATGTTACTATCGTGAGAGTTATCGCGATTCTCAAACGCCGGCGAGATCTGGATAAACAAGTCCGCATAAAAATGGTGTGTCTTGTCCTCGTTGACGGAATTCTCCTACCAACTGTTCATTACCCACGAGTAAAAGTGGTAAAGGAACATGCAGAAATGACGGAGGATCTGGTCTCATTTGTTGAGTACCCATGGGGTCGGCTTTCATTTGACATGATGATATCTTCCATTAAAGAGAGGGAACCATCGAAGCTAGTGAACGCGAATGTAGCGATCCAAGGTCTGTTTGCAGCTCTTCAGTTTGTTGTTTTGGAAGCTGTCCCATCGCTTGCAGATAGTCTGAACCAGTCTGTCTCCGCCGAAGTGGATGATGAAGATGACTTCCTCCCCCAACAGCGACAGGTCCTCCAATTAAAGTTAAGTCACGCACGCGACATCGACGAAGCGGAAAAGGTACAAATGAACTTCGTTAACGTAGTTAACAGTTAATTACATAGCAAATGGGTTAACTATCTTTTTAGAGGTTAATAGAGTTAGCAGCACTTAATTTGTCATATAAACAAAGTTAACAGACAACTGACGACGTTTAGGTAGATGGTAATAAGAATATCTGTCTACTTAATTTTCGTGTAATTAGTTATCGGATTGTTAGTCATGTACAACAGAGTTAACCGATAACGTCGCTTTCCTCCTCATGGGTACTTAGGTGACTATAGAGGTAACCCCGATCTTAATTCGTTGCAGGACACTGTCCACTCCGTCATTCGTCCGGATCTAGTATTCGATGAGGAAGAGGACCTTAGCTGGGCGGACGATCCTATCGATCCGAAGGTTGATGAGATGTTGAAACTCATTGACGAAGGTTTTCAGTTCAAGGGCGAGATGTTTTTGGGTGGGTGCAAACCAGCTGTAATTCCACCAAAGTCAAAGTCAAGAAAAGGCAAATCCGGTAAAGGCGTTGGCGGAAGGAGCGCGAAGAATAAGGGTAGAGGCGCTGGTCCAAGCACAACTATCTTTGACGAAACTCGCATTGGGAATATAATAGAGGCCAAGTTGTCAAGTTACGAAATCGCCTTGGAGGAAAAATTTGCAGACATGCTATCGAAGAACAACAAGGTTGTCATTGCTGCGTTGAAAAAACTGATAACGAAAACCGCTGTTAACCACGAGGATATCCCAACGAGGTCGGTTTCCGTCGATAATTCCTCTGCAGATGGTACTGTCTCCGAAAGTAGCCAAACCACCGGCAACGGGGACGAAGACAATGCGAGCAACCAGTCTGCTGCAGAAGGTGGCGACGCCGAATTCGGTGTTTCTATTGGCAATCAGAACGAACGGCTGTCTACGGAGGATATTATAGCCTACTATGCGGTCAATAACGACGAAAATGGAGGCACGTCCGTCTTACCTGAGCAACCATCCTCTCCAGTCGTCGATCACCAAAAATCGGGGGATTCAACCTATGGAGGTGAGCCGACAGAGAGGAGAACTATAGAGGTAATATAGTTAATAGATATGTTAGGGTGCAGATAACCCGAAATACATTTTGGTATATACCATTTTTCGCTCAAAATTTTCCCCTTCTGGTTGTAAGCAGGGGGAAGCCATTGACTCTCAGCCGCTAAACCGGTCCAAAACACCTATGGAGGATGGCTCTAACTTACCTGGCGAGAAGTATGAAGGCGATAAGGTAATCAGCTTATTTACAAATAATCATGGTTACCCTGCAACTGTATATGTGATGTGTTATTCCCACGAATTTTTTCACTCGGACCAGGACCAAATGGAAGTCGTCGATGAAAACGAGCCTACCAATCGGTCTACCCCAGCCCCTGTAGTGGTATGTACTTATTTCGAACTTTTCATGGCTAATATCATTACCTAACAACCCTCGTTTTGTATTAACAATGGTTATCACGAACCCTCAGATACACTCGCATTTTGTTAACAAAATTTCTTTTTTTATATGCCCGACCTGATTCGCAGGAAGAAGATGTCCATTCCAATGTTGCTCACCAAGCTAATCCATTGGGCCAACATGTCCCGGTTCGTACTGTGATCATTCTAGTGTTTACGTGTTTTAAATTGCAGTCATTTTGTACATGCAACCATTATATGTATTTTTTTTGAACCCGAGTAGGTTGCATCTCCAATCCCTGATGATGATTGCCCGGAGGAAATAACTCATTCACAGATAAACGTCGCCGACGCACCTGGCGTAAGTTACAATCATCTGGATATAGGTTATATATCGCAAACCAGTACGAGGGCTAAATTATGTGTTAAATTTTGTATCTTCTATCTAGGGTGATGAAAACATTGTTAACAACCCTGACGCTAACCACAATGACGTCACAAGGAAAAGCAAACGTCCTAGGATGATATCTTCTCGGCTAGATGAGCGTTTTGAGTGTGGTAAACGATTGAAGACACGCATAGGCCATGAGAAGGAGTCAGACTTGGATAAGATGCGGAGACTAGACGAAAAGGTCCAAAACGCTATCAACAGCGTAAAAAGGTAGATCATGCAACCTGATTTGGGTATGGTGTCCACACGCGTATACTTATATGTTCATTGATCTGCAGGGCAATTAGCCTAGGGAATTGTATATCTTTATCCGCAAGGGAGTTAGCGGATTTGCTTGAAAGGAAGAAAAGCCCACCAGCTAAGGTAAGTATCTCAAACGGCAGGCTAAACGCAGTGTTGTCACTATCCTTATTGAGTTAACTAAATTATCGTGTAAATTATTTTTCAGGTTATGGATGCTGTACTAAAATTTTCACGGCACATGCTGCGTAAGGATGTTGAAGATGGCGTCGGACTAAGAGTTGATATTCTGGACTCCAAGTTTGTGTCGCAGCTCACCAAACTCTATCCTAGGTTCTCTAAGTGCGAAAACTGGGAAGAATTTCGTTTCAACAGAGCTGTTGTGGATCTTTTAACTGGGAAGGATGAGCCAGATCGGGTGGAACTCTATGCCGAAGCAGATATCATATACCTACCCTTCAACTTTGACCAGCGCCATTGGGTGTCCCTTGCGGTGGATTTGGTTGAAAAGAAGATCGGAGTGCTGGATTGCAACGTCAGTCTCAAGCCGGACCATAGACTCGTGAGCGATCTTCAACCTATTGCAACAATGCTTCCTTACCTTTTCTAACAGGTTTCACACAACCCGGAGATGAGCCAGATCAACCTAACTCCATTCACCATCGAACGTATAACTGGGCTTCCTCAAATTTCATCCACCCCCGACGCTGGCATGTGCTCTGTCTTCCTTCTTCAGTCTCATGCACTCGGTGGCGTCGAAGCTGCAAGGGCTTTTGACTTGAGTTCGTTCGAGACGGAGCTTAAGAAGTTCATAACAGCATTGGTCAAACAGTACTCTATTTGATTTGCTCTGGGAAACTCTGTTATCAGACTATGTTATGTTTCTTGTTCTCCTTTTCTACTCTCGGCGGTGTTAGCTTTGTTGAACTTTATTTGTGTTTTCTCAAAAATTCTGTTATCCGCTGTGTTTGTTGTTCGATGCTAATTTATACTTGGTTCTTCTAAGTACCTCTAACAACAGTCGATCCCCTATGTTTTTTTTGTCCAACAAATTTGTTAGTGGCGGTACCAGGTCTATCTGGTAAAGTAGTTGTATGTAAAATCAAACATATATTACCCTCTTACAAGTTAACCATCTAGTTGTCGTCCAACATATATATCTGATAACTTGGTTGTATGCTATATTAATTATCATTACCAAGTAGATATGTTAACCCATTTCTACACACCATTTCCTTTCTGTTTCCTCGTTGATTGAATTTTATCTTGTCCTTGATGTTCGATGGTGTCGATTTTCTCAACCCATCAATCCTATGATAAACAATCTAGCAAAAACACTACATCCACAGTTCTCTGTGTTCAACTACAACAATAACACTTGATCCCCTAAGTTTTTTTTGTCCAATAGCGTGGTTTGTGGCGGTACCTGTTCTATCTGATTAAGTAGTTGTATGTTAAATCAAACATATATTACCCACCAACAAAGTTAACCATCTAGTTGTTGTCCAACATATATATCTGATAACTTGGTTGTATGCTATATTAATTATCATAACTAAGTAGATATGTTAACCTATCTCTACACAACATTTCCTTTCTGTTTCCTCGTAAATTGGATTTTATCCTGTCCTTGATGTTCGATGGTGTCGATTTTTTCAACTCTCCTAACTTACTGCAATAACACTACATCCACAGTTCTCTGTGTTCAAGTACAACAACAACACTCGATCCTCTAAGTTGTTTTTGTCCAATAACGTGGTTAGTAGCGGGACCTGTTCTATCTGATAAAGTAGTTATATGTTAAATCAAACATATATTACCCACCAACAAAGTTAACCATCTAGTTGTTGTCCAACATATCTATCTGATAACTTGATTAGATGCTATATTTAGTTATCATTACTAGCTAGATACGAATAGGTCTCGTGCTAACGAAATTAGTGGTAACACAAATACATCCTAACATTCATATATTACACAAGTAGGGATACATTACATGGTTTTCACAGTGGTTCACTATCCTTACCCAAAACTAACGACATGGAGCTAAACTCTGTTTGCAACTGGACCCAAATGCAAATACAAATGCGACGAGGGTCTGGTTCAAACCTATTTCAGACGTACCGCCGAAACAAAAGTGATCGTCTTTATAATACAACAAAATGAGATCACGGAAACAAACTTAGCTAACAACGACATTATTTATCTCACACGGTTTCCTTTTGCTTTCCTCCGTCCAGACCAATCCCCTCTTCAAGGTTCCTACATTTGAAGTTTATTGGTATTTAAAGACGTTGATCCAACGAACTTATAAATAACTCATTCTTACCGGTATTGGACCTTTACAGCTTGATCGATTATGTCCTAGACCACGGCATCGGGTGCATCTGCGCCTGTTCACACGCTGCAACGGGAAGGATGGTCACACTGCTGGTAAACAAAATCCTCAAGTATGTAACTGAAAATGGTATTACCACTCTTTACCTTGAACTCCCCTTTCGAGAAGATGCGACTTTTTTTCGGGCGTCCTGGAGGTCTGCGAACCTTAGGCGGACCCATCTTGACAGCCCCATCTTCACCAGCTACACGTTCCAAAGTGTCCATGTCTGGAACAGGCATGATTAGGCCCTCGTATGCCTTCTTGCGATACTCAACAGTGTAATGGACGCCAACCAGAGTTTCAACTCGGACCCCCTCCCGAATAGCAGCCGCGACAGCATGTTCGCATGGAATGGCAAGTAACTGAAACTCTCTGCACGATTGTTCCCACAGATGAACAGCGTAAGAGACGTCCGTCGCATCACGGACCTCATATATTCCATCGCCGATTTTCATAACAAAATACTCAGACGATCTGTTGAAATTTTTAATCACCATCTCCTTAACCTTTGGGTTGATTACATCTGTGTCTGAGTTAGCTGCTTCACGTCTGAGTGCAAACCACGTTACCAGTGTTGTACGGATTGATTCTAGGATGGAAATGACGGGGAAATCGCGGGCCAATGTTAGCACTTTGTTGAGGGATTCCGAGATGTTACTCGTCATGACGTTGTATCGTTCCCCCACGAAGTGGGATCGTGTCCAATGTTCGAATCCAACGTCTTCTAGGTAATCAGCGCACTCTCCATCGATCGCCCGAATCTCGCTGAATAACTTGTCAAACTCACTTAGGCGATAAGCTCGTGCTGCTTGGGAGGTCATGTAGCTCAATGTATCAGATTTAAAGTGGGCGACCACATTTCGTTGTAAATGAACTATGCAGGCAGCGTGAGAAGACATCGGGTAAACCTAGAGACAAGCAACAAAACATGGATAGCAGTTAACTCAGATTAGCAGACAACTGCATTATATACTAGCTGATAACAATGTTGTAGTCAACAATTAACACGCTAACTAAAGTATTATTAACTTTCGGGTTTGCAGAAAAAAATCTATAAACTTTTGTGTTCGCAGTCAACTACATTATCTATGAGAACGTGTTACACTTCAGATTATTTGTGGTTGAATATCGTACCTTGCGAATGGCAGAGTAAATTGACGAGTGGCGGTCTGAGACGAACACCAACTCCGGTTCGTCTGGCACTATCTCAGTAAGTTTCTCTAAAAACCATTCCCATGCCTCGTCATTTTCGCTATTAACTATCGCAAACCCTATTGGGAATATCTGAAAATTCCCGTCCTGACAACTCGCGGCAACTAGACAACCTCCATAACGATTACGGAGATGTGTGCCGTCTATGACGACGACTTTGCGCATGTATTGGTACCCCCTCGCACTGGCATCCAACGAGAAAAATAGATATTTAAAGCGCTCCACACCAGTGTTATCTACCTCTGTTTTTAGACCCGTAACAGAGTTTGGGTTTGCTTGTTTCAGTAACTTGAAATAAGTTGGAACCAAAGCATAGCTCCCCATAGCTGAACCCAAGGCTTTGTCCATCGCAATCTCCCTAGCTCTCCACGCTTTCCAATAGCTGATGTGGAGGCTAAATTCCTGTCTGCACAGACGCCGCAGTTCAAATGCGCGTGGTCCCCTTCCTTCTACTCCATATTTAGAGCGCATCAGTTCACCAATTACCGCAGTGGAAGCTTGGCGATGAAAGTTCCCGCGTGCATCCACGCTGCATGTGTGCTCTTGTTTTGCAGAACGAACCTCGTACCGGCTACTTTCCTCCATTTTCGTAGCGTAAACACGCCAGGGGCAATTGTCACCCACGCAGACTACAATGATAACATTGGGGCAGGATCTGGCGTACCGAAAATGGAATTTATGGTTAATTGCGTGGATAGCCAGCTTCCTTTGACAATCTTCTTTGTTTTTGAAAATGCGACCGACGAAGATGTCATCTCCCTCGTAATTCACATCATGTAGTGCTCGTTCCAGCTCATCTATATCACACGTAGCCATATTAGCACGCTAACATCCATAAGTGATTATCACGGTAACCGTATTTCTGGATATTTGTTTCAGAAGCTATATACCTTCGCCAATCGGGTCGTCAAAATATGGGGGTGCGTCGCGTTCATGCATCGTTGGCGTCACCCTTGGCTCTTCAGTCATTACAGGATTTCCGTCAACTCGGATCACAGGCCTGCATGATGCCGTAGGAACAATCTCACCGCCTGCGATGGATTTCCCTTTGTCACGCAACCCCTCACTAGGGAAATACACTGGTATCCCGGTGAGTGGATTATTTGAGCTCCCAGGTAAGTTTGTTTCATCAGCAATTACTCGGGGTTCCATATTATCACCTATACACAGACCCGCACAGTTATCGTTCCACTTTAAACCATATATTGTATCGTAGTTTACGAATGTATTATCGTTTGCTATACCTATTAACGAGATAGCAATGTTGGGCCCAATTACATAGTCAGCGCTCTCATTGCTTGAAGTCGACATGTTACCGGAGTTGGAGGAAGATGAAGAAAGTCCAACTCCTATGGCGTTTTTAGTTTGCGGTAACTTGCTCCCAACGAATGCTCCAGCTAATGTCAACTGTAAGTTGTTGTCAACAGTCCCTGAACGGACATGATGATATTCTGGTGCAGATTCTTTACTCCTCTTCTCTTGCTCTCCAATATCACGTATCATCAACGTCGACTGACTCGGAATATAAGCCCGGTGTGTGGACGTGGTTGCTGCGGCAGGGTTACTACTCGCCCCTGAACAGAAATATCGCCACAGCTCCGCCAACTCCGCAGGCGTTTCCACACTGGCCCTCCGGGTGCTACAAGGTAACCCTGTTACCCAATAATACAAGTTAACTTTGCAGACAGCACATAATACGTCTTCCACAAAAGACATAATTAGTATCAATTTTTGTTACCGAAAACAGAGTTAGGCGAGGATACAGCACTCCTGGTTGTCTCTGCAATGTTGTTAACTGCAGAAAATATTATCTTACAATTTAACCATCTAGTTGTCGTCCAACATATATTACCCTCTTACAAGTATCAAACTTCTTCAAAACCACATACTTAAGTAGTTTACGAATAACCCGGTTTTTTCTCACCTGGGATAGTTCGGAGTGTATCATAAGGACCACCACCTCTGTTCCCTTCAACTCCACTCTTCCGGTTCTCTTCCCTCTGGCGGTTTGCTCCAAT